GTAGCAACTTCGAGAGCAAATGGACGAATGATATCAATGTTATTTTAAGCAAATGGCGCTTGAGTTTGCATTTACAGAATGGATGAGATAAATGTAAACAAGGAAATAAACACGCTGTATAGTATTTTAATTACTCAAAAGTGGTGAACGTTGACTGCATCAAAGTAGTATAGTAGCCACCACTTTGGTCTCATTTTAGGGGAGGAATTTGATATCTTAATGTTCACGAATAACTTGTACATGATTCTCATAAAGCGAAAGAAGGACTAAAAAATTAATACTACATTGTTATGAATATTGAATGACGCCACAAGAAATCATTTAATCGTGACAGCACCAGAGGGCGCGCGCTTGGCAGCCAAACAAAATTTGTTCTCAAACAATTCATCTAAGGAGGAATCCCTTTAATACGGTCACTAATGGGTCCAAAACATTTGGCCGTGTTACCGAGGCAGAGTCAAATTTCATGACTTAAGGGTTGAAATGCAAAATACACCTACACCATACAACGCATTCGCACTTCTTGAAGGAATGTTCTCTTTAATAAACAACCGGAATGTAGATACTGCGTACAGTTATTGTAAAAACAACTTTAGACTCTCCTATCCTTTCCTTAGTAATTGGTTATTACACCGCCAAAAACACATTTTAAGTGTATTGTAGTCTAAAAACAATGAAAGAACAGGCTTAGCTTACTAAATCAATGAAATTGACATGACAGAGGTATTTTAATTTTCTAATTTCGAATGAGTTGTCGTATTAACGCGGTGAAATTATAAAAGATCGTACTGTTAGGGATTTTAAAATGTGGCCGTTGGCCGTATTAAAGGAGGGACAGTATTAACGAGGGATTTTTAAAAGAAAATTTATGGCCGTTTTGCCGGGCCAAGAAAAAGTGACCATAATATCAAGGTGACCGTATTTCTGAGGAGGCCGTAAGGTGGTGTTCCACGGTAATAACTAGCTTTCTCATTCTCATGGTGGATGCAAAATTGACCTACATATCACTTTCTACAACCTCAATTATGGTAAAAATTGTCATACGGAACTTGTATATCTAGAAAGTCAGCTACGTATTAGTATTACTACACAGCTAAAGAAATGAAATTTTTTTTGTCTTAAAGTAGGATTTTATTTAACGACTCCGCAATTTCAATGTCCTCGCTTCGGAGAACTACTGAATAAACAGCTAGTGGGACGAGCGGGTCGATGAAAGCATACGCATGCAATGTTCGTCAGAATTGTTTCATTTTTTGTTACATTCCGAATCAAACACAAAGCGAATAGATGGAAAAGCCGAGTATTCAAGAAGTGCATCGAATTATTGTCAATTAATTATCCACTTTTTGGACGTTTCGTTTAAGGCTAGGTTACCTCAGTAGGGTGAACTTTCTTCTCTTTAATCCTTGCGCAAAGGGTACGCGCAGTTTGCAACATAGTCTTAAATTCTCGCTTTATCACTCGATTCATATAACCGTACAGATATGGATTGATAACTCCGTTGATATAATATAGTACTGACACAACATACTGTAACACCACAGGCGCTTCCAACCCTGAGTGAAAAGACCAGATATTTACAACCATATAGGGAGTCCATGATATGAATAAAACACCAACTATGCAAGCCAGTGTCAGTGAAGTTTTAATGTCCGCCCGCAGGGCAGAGTGTGGCTTGCGCACACAATACTGTCCAGTTGCCTTGATCGCTGACCCACCTGCTGATGATTCCGGCTCAAACGCTGAGTTCAGTTCTCGTTGCTGTAAGGCCTCGACTTCGCGCGCTATTTGTCTAGAATGACGTAATGCTATTCGAAGAATACTAATGTAAATAAAAATGATAGACGCCAATGGTAAAAAGTACAATGTGGCTAGCTTAAAATAGGTAAAGCTAACTGCTATGTTGTAGTCTGTATCGCACAGCCATAGGCCGGGTGTGTATTGGTAACGACTCCATCCTATAAGGGGAAAACCTGCTGTTATCAGGGCATATAGCCAAATGCAGACGATGCTTGCTATTGTCCTGGTTTTTGTTACCCAGCCTTTGTATTTTAGAGGAACATTTATAGCAAGATATCTGTCCATGCTGACGGATGACAGCGTCAGCACGGACACAGTGCTTGATGCGTGCTGGAAGTAACCAATAATATCACATCCTGTCTTTCCAACGACGCTGGACTCCTGGATTAAGGAAGCGATGCCAAATGGCAGCAGAAATATTCCCACCATGATATCATTTATGGCTAAATTGACGAGGAAGAGGTGGGAGGGTGAATGTAGCCGCCTCACGCGGTAAATTATGTAACAAATTGTCGTGTTTCCGATTGCAGTGAGTATGATCATCAATGTAAAGATTACAACAAGTAGTGTCACCATGGTGATATTAGTCCTTTACGCATGTGCATTTTCATCTCATCGAAACCGATTATGACAGTGTCTGTCACGAAGCTTGGATACCTGTGGACAGAAGAAAACATATTAATTTACGCCGTTTACAGCAAAGGTTTTGTTTTGGGGAAATTTTAAGACTCTTGTCTTTCAATTCTAAAACTTCCGCGCTGCCTGCAGTTGCTTCTTAGAGGCAGAATGCCTTGTTTGAAACTGAAAACCAAGCAAAGTATTCCTACAATCTTCTTATGGCCCTTTTAGTATTAAAAAAGTCTTCACAATTCAAACACATTTCTTTGGTGTATTCTCTTTGAATTCATCTATTTAACTATTTCAATGGCTTTTTGCGTCCATCAACGTAGTCTCAAGCTAAAAGAAAACAACACGTAGCACCGAACAGTCGACAAGCGTTTCCGGTTCTGCTTTTTTACTCTCGCCAAAGAAGGAAGAAAAGATAGGACACAGCATAAGAAATAGGTACGGGGTAAGTACCTATTTGTAACGTAAATTGTTACTGACGTGCGTTAATCCCTGCTAAATTGAAAAAAAGTTGCATGATACGAAATGGACGCTGTGTCTTTCCTGCTTGTATACTGTGGTTAATTAAAGTTTCTCGTAACCGATGCGTGATAGTTTTTCCGGCCTCAGTCTGAAACGCGTGAAAAGTAAACAATAAAGGAAAGAGTGACAGACGTGGTCAAAGTATCTTGGGACATAAAACATCCGAACACAAATACCAGTCTATCATGGAGTGGTTTTGCAATGACTATCAGAGATCCGATTAACATTTGTAAAGAGGCCTTTATAGAAACTGTGTGTATTAAAACATAGCTTGGCTGGAGCGAACAAGTTCCTTTAAAAGCTCTAAGATAGTCGACTTCATGGGAGACAGAGCCTAAGCTCATTTCAAGCCTCAAGCATTTTTTTTTCAGTTTATGTTGTCCCTCGTGTGTGTGCCCAATAGCCCCAGGTGGAGTGTATTACTGGGAATTCTTGGTGGGGGGTGTGCCGCCCAGCTCTGCGATTCCTGACCCTATTTCAGACCACAAAATGTCATTTTCCACACCCGTTTTCGGAGTTGGAGGTGGTCACAAAACGCAACATACGTGTTTAGTACATTGAGAGAAGAATACAGTAGTAACGACTCTAATCTTGCGGTTGTTTTTATAAAGAAAGAAAGAATAACTGATTATTATAAATATTAACTTTGCTGCTTGTGTAAGTGTGTCATATCGGCATCAAGGGAACATTTAGTATGGCGATTCCAGACTAAAATGAGCAAAGTTTATACTCGTTTGCACATCAAAACTGCGCCAAAATATGCCCTTTGGGGCGGCATATACCTATATGACTTATGTAAGGGAGTACCCCCACCCCCGGGCTAATAGCTAGAGAAACGCAGAGAGAATAAGGATTTAAGCGAAAAAGAAGCCTTTCACCGCGATGAGATTAAAATTCGTGATATCAAGATTATTTCCATCCGGTCTCGTCCATTTACGGCTGCGCATATATAATTCCCTAGAAAGCCGATCGCAGTCCACGATACGCCATGAGTTAAGCGCTAAGCCGCTATGAAAAGGTCTTACCTTACTTAGAAATTTCATCATCTCCTCACAAAACAATACAAATTGCCTCTAAACTATAATCCCATCCGCCCTTAATCTAAAGGTTTAGCTTTACATCACTATTGTTAATTTATCTATATGCACCTACTGGCGGATCTTAAACAAAGTCTCGTATGGTGCAGCCAGTTTGGCGACTGATCTCATTAAAAACACTATGTTGCTGCCGAGAGTGTCATTGAAAGTCAATTTCTGAAGAAAATTGAAATTTTCGAATGAACCGGCTGTTTTTTTAAGGTCTTGCTTACATGTTTTCCAGTTTTACTTGGTTGAAGCAGAGGTGGCCAAAATTGTTGTAGAACTTTTCTTTGTTTGTGTGCAATCGTCCTAAGTAACCTACCCGATAAACTTGGAAGAAGATGGAAAAACGGAACACTTTTTCTTAATGAGCTAAATTCCCAGTTTAGCATATGTTTAATTCTGACAAGTAGAAAAGCATTACCTTTTTCAATTGAGCTATGATATTAAATTCCTCACAAAACTAATTGAACTTGTTGTTATTCAGTGTACTGTTTTTGGTTATGAAATGCGCAAAATTAGACTCCATATGATTCAGTCCTGGTTCAATATACAGGAATACATATGGTAACCAGGTTGTGAAAACTCTTATTGCGGACGATAAATTGTTCGATCTTGAATTCTGAGTCTGTTGACTATAAATTTCATTTCTACGAAGTTTAAAGTTTTTACTGGGTATTTAAACGTAATCTTACCGTAGTGTTCGGATTGTCAGAATCTCCAGGCTCATAAAAATGTCTTGTTGTCTTCGTACAACACACATTATTAACCAACCAAGGCTGGCCACAGTTTGCTTTTAAAACCCACTGCCGAGAAAAAGAAATGAAAAACTCATTGTTTATTGATACGCTATCCGCCTTGAAAGGCCTGAAAAACGGATCTCCAGTAGAGCTGTGTTGAGCGGTACAAGGACAATATAATATATTTTGATGATTGCCTATTGTTGGTAGTATAGAGCTGTATGTGATAAAACAAACGTAAATTCAGTATACGAAAAATGTTTTGCCATAAAATAATTTCATCACAAAAAAGGAAATATAGTGTTTTACATATGATTTAAAAGCTCAAGGAAACATATAGCAGCTCTTGCATAATTGAAACCAGACTCAGTAATCGAGCTACTCAACACGAAATATTGTTTAAAATAATAGATTTTTTTTCAAATAGAAGATACTCCATACTTGATCTAGAAATCTGTTCGGCAAAATATTAAAATGTATTTTGCAAGCATTCAAAACGTCAGACTTATCTCCATTCGTCTCAAAATTTTCATTATTTTACTGCTGTATGTCTTATATTAGGGTACCCGAAGAAGAGCTGTCAGGTACCGGAAAATCGGAAATTGAAATGATTCAATCCACAATATATTTTCAAGATGGCTGCGTGTAGTAATCAAACAGCAAAACAAGAGATGACATATTATCGCCCTTCACAAAATTTGTGGAAAAGCTTCAGATCTTTGACGACTTTTTTGAGCAGCGCGTTCAGTCTCAATTTAGCATTACCAATTTCTCTTTAGCACAATGTTTTTTATGGCCTTTAAACTACTTTTTTTTCTTCTCAAGAAGAAAAATAATAAATTTGTTGTGTTTACATTTCCTGTGAGCAGGTGACGACACCTGGATATGCCCTTTCGAAGCAGAGGTGGTATTTATTAACATTGTGTTGTTTAATATCGAAACAACTTCCAGTTTTACTGCACGTCATATGGACTTTTTGCTCTAACCCCTTGCGGTGAATATTAAAAGCTTTTCACTCAAAATAACCAATTAATTGTATATTCTGTGGTGACGTTTTTTTTTTGGATAAAAATGAAAGGATAGAAACTATTGCACTTAGAAAAACGCGTCGGAGCAAATGTTTTTGAATTTACACTTTGCTAGGTTTTCTTTAATAGTTCTCTTGAAAGATTTCATTAAGGCTTCACATGCTTTCGAAGAAACACCCTCATTGCTTAGGATACAACTGATTGCCAGTACAATGTTCAGTGATGCACAAACTAAACTAAATAACTTGCGAATTTTTCCTTTTTATGCAAAAGTACATTTGTGCTCCGTAAACAAAGCTAATTAGAACGTTTAGTTTTCAGTAGGGTTGAATATGACATACAAGCCAAAGAAGAAAGGCTGCGAACACGAGACACAAGACACGTTGTTTGCAATGCAGAATGTGAATGAAATGGTATAGAATAGTCAACTCTCACCTACTAGCATCACTTGATGAACTACTTGAAATGCACACCAAACGATCGCTTGTGTTAGAAACAAGATAATATCATAGATATGACTCAGCTTTCCCTGTTATAAATTAAACAGTGATGCAGGAGTCCTCTGGCTTGCACTGGGCTCCTAAGATAAAAACGTTTCAAGCCATAATTCAAAATACGTACGAGATTTATGCTTACATCAGGGATACGACCTTTTATCTGTAACCATGGAACATCTGTAATCGTGGTTTTATGATTGGTTGGTTTCAAGAGTAACCTGCTTAGATGGAAAATATCACCAGAGCAGCACTTGAATAAAAACGCTATGCAAATTTTGGTTTGCGTAATTATGCAATTTTTTGGCTGGTTTTTGCTTCAATTTTCAAGGTAGCTTTTTCAAGGTTAGGTTTGGCCACTCTATCACTCTATCAAAATTACAACGGCAGTCTTCCCCCCGTTTGTTACCGCAACGTGTCTAAGTGGGCTGAGGTGTTGACAGATGTTTAAAAATTGATGCCCCTCGACAACCAGACCAGGGCCCGCGCACTGTACTTAATAAAACTAAGTACAGTGGAACCTCGATATAACAAACGGCCAAGGGGCTGCCAAAATATGTTTGTTATAACGAGGTTCNAACGTGTCTAAGTGGGCTGAGGTGTTGACAGATGTTTAAAAATTGATGCCCCTCGACAACCAGACCAGGGCCCGCGCACTGTACTTAATAAAACTAAGTACAGTGGAACCTCGATATAACAAACGGCCAAGGGGCTGCCAAAATATGTTTGTTATAACGAGGTTCGTTAACTTACATCGAGCTTCTTTATCATATTGCCATATATCTTACTATTACCATAAGTTTTAAAAAAGACAGTTCGTTAGATCGCGGCTGACTTCGTTATATAGAGGTTCCATTGTAATATATATTTTCATATAAAAAGTATCTTTGCTGGAATAAGAATCTTCCAGCAATTAAATTTATCATTGGTCCGTTTCGATCCTAGATCTGATATGTAGTAAGCCTCAAAACGACTATCTTCTACAAAACTACTTTTAGTCCTGGACTTCTGCGTTTTCAAACCAGCAAGGCTGTAGAGCATATGCAACGATGCAGAAAGGAGTCTTTTTCGATGAAGGTTCTCTACTAAATCTGAAGACCACTCCACGAAACTACGGTTTCTTAAAACGAATTATATCGCGGGCTTAGTGATGATGTGGTCCATCTATTTTTATCTAAAACAACTATTTCGTCACTATATTATATTCTTTCTACTCGTACGTATTCTTGTTTGGGGTCACCTACTCGGTTATAGTTCTATGAACTATTTAGGTGTCCTAAACATATTTATTTCCTTTGAAGCTATTAAACTGGCATTAATCGGCGCAGTAAAACTTGATTCCTGAAATACTTTGGATGCAACGTTGTGGCTCTATATTGGCCTTTATATAAAAGCTCAAGACGTCCAAACTAAGAATCTCTTATTCAGCCTGAAATTGTTATATTATAAGCTCAAATGTAGCGCGCATATAAACTGAAAAATCTTGCCTGATATAAAAAGTTCATATTTTGTTTTTGCGATGTCACAATTATTCATGGTTCAATTTGACCTGCTTGAATGTTCCATTTAATCAGCAACAAGAACGCTCTTACACCCGCCTTCAGTCTCGCTTGCTTGGAGATTAGATTGAGAAATGAGGAGGCGATTAATTCTACAAGAAACATGATTTACTCGCTGAAGGTTTTTTACTTCCTACTTTATCGACGACGATACTTTTTATTTGTTTCTGAATTGATTTAGTAAGCGTGTTAGCGACGACTGGAAATACGTCTGCGGTCGCAGGTTATACACGTGCATATATACACGAAAATTCAAGGGCCTCAATTCCATTACATCATTGCTAGAGATAAAAAAAGGGCTTACAAGGCACGTCATTTCAATCATCGCCAAAAATAAATCACATGCTCACCACAAGACCCATTTTCATACAATGAAAGTTTAAAACACACGACCCGTCGCAGTTTTGCTAATTGAGATTCTTATTTTTTTTCGACCACTCAGTAGTGTTCACTTGTTCCGAAGTAATCTACGCTTTCAAGCGATAGAATTCGTGGACCGACACGTTTCGGAAAAGCTCTAAATTTAATCTTTCCTAAGCGTTCTTCGCAAAACATGCGTGGCTTCGATCCAACCTCGTTCCCAGGGTTCTCTCCTACCCGTCCCTACGGAGCGAGCGAGAGAGAGAGACCCTGGTTGGGTCTGGTCACGTGGCTCCAGAACAAAATTTATTCGATCACGCAACGATTCTTAGTCCCCTTAGTCCCTTGAACGCCTGGCACAATGAGCCCCTTCTTTGTCCTAAATGCGATGAAAACCTCATTGCAGATTATGCGTGTCGCTGCTTACGCAAGCGAGACCAATAAATTGACTCTGGCAATAACTCACACCACAGGCTTATTCATCATACGTGAAACGAGTGAAGTCTTTGCTTGTTGCTGGGATACAGTCTTGAGCCCAGGCAAAAAAGCCGCGCGCTTTGTACAGCGGGTTATGACCATGTGCGGATGCTCGCACTCGGAAAACCAGTTTGACGAGAGAAAACAAGATTGTCTAGTCCGAGCGTTCGGCCCACGGAGACTTCAATTTCAGGGAGAGCCTCAGCTTTTCTTAAGCTGGATTACCAGCCGCTGCTCGGGAAAATGAGCCCGCACTCAGGATCAAAGACCGGACCCGGGAGACGGCGGAAATCGAGCCTACCTTTTCTCAGCGATGTGAATTGATACAAAATATATTTTACCCCGCTACTCAGAGCCAACAGCCGATATAATTGTTGCCAACCAATCTACAAAGAAAGTCAATGAATGCCTAAATGTTGCACAGTCAAGAAGCTCTTGAGAAACGCGGTAAACATTTGATAAGTGCTAATGTGCGTTCCAGATCGAAATGAANAAATATATTTTACCCCGCTACTCAGAGCCAACAGCCGATATAATTGTTGCCAACCAATCTACAAAGAAAGTCAATGAATGCCTAAATGTTGCACAGTCAAGAAGCTCTTGAGAAACGCGGTAAACATTTGATAAGTGCTAATGTGCGTTCCAGATCGAAATGAAATTAGATAAGAGATCTCGAGGTTTTATTTTTTGAGAAAGGAGAATCAGAAAACCTTAGAAAAATCTCACGGTGCAAAAAAGACAGCCCACAACAAACTCAACCCACATAAATGAACGCTTATTCGAAAGGAAACAGGGCTTGGAGGCATGAGCTCTCACAACCATGCCATCCTTGCTGTGGTTAATCAGAAAGGCAGTAAGCGCCGTTTGATTCAATTAAGAAGATCTCTTTTGCAACTGCAAAAAATGGTCGATCCAGTTATCAAAACTTTTTGTCCAGAAGAGTCCCAAAATGACCAACCTCCTTGATGTCCTAGTCAAACATTAATCTCTCTAAAGCTAATGTCGATGAGATATAGTTAGATATGACAATCTTATCTAAAAGGACTACGATGCGTGACAAGAATTCATGGTGACAGTGATGGTTAAATTAAATTCATCGGTTTTCACTTTTTGCCAAGGATATCTGTATCTATACAACCTAATTCATGAGCAATCCACTTAGTTTACAGAAAAAAAATCCAGTTCTTCTAATTAACTCGTGATAACATCCAAAAACAAGGCCATCTCGGAACTTGTATTTTGGCTACAGTAGCACCACGCGCGTTAGAAATTGAACAGACACGTTTTAATTAAGCGTTCATTGAAATGAACATAGAAATCTTCCTTCCGTTTCAAGAAAGATGGATTAGCATTATTTACAACACAAAAAAATTGAAGAACGGCCAATGAACTAAGTTCATATAATTCTCTTGCAGGAAATTCATCTAATAACTAATCAATATTTTTTTCTGAAAGTGACAGCGAAAATGAATGACTGGCAATTGACAAAAACGCCCCAAATTTCTAACAGCTGCGGCAGTTTTTTAATTGTTTCAAAGTTGTGGCGTTGACATTTTTAATCAGGCAAGAATTATATTAATTGTGCCCTGTATCCAGAAAAAAACCTTCTGCAGTCGCTCTTTGTGTTTAGTAATATGTGGGAAGACTGAGAATTAAGAATCTTAAAATATTGCAGAATCTTAAAAGGTTAAAAAAATTACTCTTTGAAATTTTATTTCATTCGTCGCTTAACGTTCCTGTATATATATATTACTGTATTTCATTACTAAAATATTACCCTCGGGTAGTAATTTGTTGTTATTTCCGCGAAATATTTCATAACACAGTGTTATCAAAGTATCTCTGCTAGTGTTAAACTATTAAAGTTTTTCCATGATTTTTCCACCTAACTTCTTTACAAGTTAAGTTCGGGGCTATCGGCTTAGAATTATCTAGGAGGTGTAAGTGTTACAGCGAAAAATCTCATGTTGAGAGAGAGAAAATAGGCGAGAGAGTGTTAGAAAAAAGAAAATTGGCTATCCGTGGTTTTATACCCAGGTATACCAACGAATAAGTTCTTGCTATGTAATTCGTTGTTTCAAATAACGCTGTTTGAAACCTTGGGTCATTAACATATGACACACATGTCACGGCGTTTGTTTGATCCCGTACATATCTTCTTGGCGAAAATGGTATTGTCTCGTTATGGTATTGGATATAGGAGATTGCTATAAAAAGCGCTTAATCTATGATAACAAAAAGAAATAAAAACGAAATAATTTGTAGAGCTTTGAATAAAATTCTAGAAAGAAAACTTTCTTCAGAAACCTTATCGTAAATCAAACACTTTTCGCCAACAAATATTAGCATGTCAACAGCGCTAAACAAATCTAACTATAACATTGTATTGCCCGTAGTGCCAGATGAATCGATGCTGACGGAGGAACATCTCAAATTTTTTTAACGAAGTCTTTAGGCACTGTAATTAGTTAGCCGAAATGAGAACCGGTTTCCTCTCTCTTTCTTTCTTTTTGTCTTTTTTTTCAGAAAGAAAGAAGCTTTCGTGACATACATCCGAAAATTTACCCTTATTTGCTTTAATGTCAGGTATGAAAAATGTCATCTTGTGTAAAAAATACAAGACCATCCTATTA